AATTATTTTACTGACCGTATCCTTGGTACTTATATCCCCCAGTTCAGGCGGTTTGAACCATGTTGAATTAGAACATGACATCAGTAACTTCATGTCGCCCACACGAATTGCCGCGCCCTGGTACAGTGGGTCATCTACTCCATCTCATTATAAAGTTGCTCTTCTGGTGCCAAGTCAATGTTCAGAAGAATCTCAGTTCTTGGAGATGGTTTTCCAATAGAAATTGTGTCCCAGACGTCAAAACCATCCACGGGAACCGAAGAGGTATCAGGTTTGCCTCCTAGGATGGAAAAAATGTGAAATATTTCAGGGGCGGTTGAAGGAAATCTTGATATTGTGGGCTCGGGAAGGATTTCACACTTGCATTCAGTTAACACTGTTGAAACAGGACTGTAACTCCTACCCTCGCATCCGTTTTCACGCGAACTTCTATTTAAAAATGGCAATAGCAACGAGGAGAAATCTGGAGCGAGTTTCATCGCGCAATTGCTTGTGGAGTGAAGCCTACATTGGGGACAAAACAAAAGATCAGAAGCCATATTGTGCCCTGTAACGATCCCACAAGCGATTGCGGGATGAGACCCGTCACAGATTCCTTCACGTTTTTAAAGTGGCGAAATACATAAATTCTACTAATGAAAAAGGTCGCAGGTTTGAAACAATTACTTCTTGCATTTGGCGATAATTTCGCTGTTTATGTCACCGATAGTGAATTTCAAAAACCCCAAGTCAGAAGGAGGTTTCGTTTCGCAGTTAGCTATAGCTCACCTATCCTTGTTGCAAACGACTACTGAGCCGCTACAAAGCACAAGGGACTCTACTGTTATGCCCTTAAGCAAGTCTTAAAAATCTCCATTTTTGATGATTCACTGAATAACTTTACTCACATGATAAAAACAAGAAAGAGCTACATTTTTTGTTAAGAAAGTCCTCATAATTTTTGCCAGCAAGAACATCATACTACTCGTAAATTTATGTTTCGAGTCGTAGCAACTTTGCCCAAAATCCCACATGCGCACGCGTCTTTGCAGAGAACCAGCAAGAATGCAAAAAGGGTGCCACACAAAAATAGTTACGTTATGGGAAAGATACTCTTCACAGATCGCCTTACGCTTGAGAATTAATCTTCTTTCCTTGCGAGTCTATAGAGTGTTGGCAAGGATGAGTACGTTTACCTGATCATCTAATGAAGCTCCTTTCATTGCTGATAGTCGTAATCAAGATCGTCTTTGGCCCCGTGCACACCACGCCGCAGAAATGTGACAGCGATGCTTTTTTTTCCCTACGATTAGGCCTACCGTCCACACTGATCCGTCACAAAAACGGAGCTTTTCGAAAACGCTCTTCAAACTGGATAATTTGAAAACGCCGGCTTTGCGTTTTAGTGTGGGGGAAAAACACTTTGAAAACGAAGTTTTTGAAAACCGTGACGATGACGTTACTATAAACATGTTATTTCCCTGTGCCACGTTTCCTCAAACACAAATCTAAAATGACTGGTGATTGTTGCGTTTTCAAATTTCTCTGGCGTAGTGTGGACAGAAAACATTTGATGCCTTTACAGAGTTAAAACGCCGTTTTCAAATTTCTCCGGCGTAGTGTGGACCGGGCCTGAAAAAAAACCATGATAACGAAAGCTTCTAAAAACACGTGGTGTTCAAAGCGCCTTACCTCAAAAACGAGCACGATGATCAAGATTCTATTGTCACATGACAGGCAGCTTCGCAGTGATTTGTTTGATGGTGGCGAGTGTCTGTGAGCGAGAGGTGGCGAAAATGTCATNCCCCCCCCCCCCCCCCTCCTTTCACCAACCCTCCATAAATTCTACTTTAGCTACGATGCTGCATCATACTTCCTTTAGAATTTTTGGCTTTTGAGACCCCCTCCCACAGTTTGGGCGTAAACGTCTTTAACCGCGTTCTTATATAATTAGTTTTTTTGGAGGCTAATTAATTTTTGGTATTTTCACGTGATGTTGGTTTGCTTCGATCCGAAGGTGATTTTATTATGTTTGCAGTCTTACCTGCGAGTTTGACTAGTGTAGGATACCAGTCTGTTGAGTGAAGCAATTCTCTGCTTTTAACACCTTTTCGTTGTAACATCTTTCCATGGACAAAAGCTACCCCTCTCACCCCTCCCTCCCAGAGAGTTTTCTTCTGACCGCGCAGTGGCCAGTTGTATCCACCAGAGCCTGGAAGTCCTCCATTATCGGTTGTGAAGATCAATAACGTGTTTTCCCAAAGACTGCAAAAAAGAAACAAACGTGCCATTGAGCAGTTATTGACTGGTCTTTGGGATAATAAACAGTTATTTTTTTTTTATAGATCCCGCTTCTCGTACATAATCATATTGCATCCCGAAAAGATGCATTTTAATGTAACCGATGTCACGTGACCGAGAAACGAAGATTAGGTCAAACGCAACTGCAGCAAACCTAGCGCAATATCGTCAAGAGATTGTGGTATGTGCAACAACTTTCTGGCTTTTTCTTGTTGGCTGTCTCCTAAATCGTATGCTGAATATGTATATTCTAAAGTACTGAGAACTAAAACAGGGCACAGGTGTATCTAAGTTTTCATTCTAGCAGCTAATATAGTAATCGAATGAATGATAGAGCGGTTTGAAACTGAGTTTCGTAATACCAAAGCCAAAGTAATCATTATGGCCAGTCACAAAGGACACTGACAATCCAGTGAACCAATCAAAACTCAAAGCAAATCCACGTAGCTGACGCGAAGCGCGGGAAAATGTGTGCGAGCGAGTCACGATTGGTTTTGGTTTTCCTTCTGATTGGATGACAAAGTGGCGCGAAATTTTTAAGCCAATCGCTTTGCGTAGTAATGCAAAACGTAATGAAACGAGATTTACTTTCGACACTCAAGTGATAAATGAGAAAAGAATGCAGTAATAGTCAGTTCAATAAAGTTGAAGTTATGTCTTACCCCGCTTTTTCTAAACTATTTGTCACGTTGCCAATAGCCTCATCTACAATGTCCAACATGGCGGCATACGTCTTCCTCGTTGTATCGTTAATGAAGCCATATTTGTCAATGTATCGTTGCGGTGCTTGGACAGGAAAGTGAACATTTTGGAATGGCAGGTAGAGGAAGAGAGGTCTTGAGGAGTCGTGCTTCTCTATGACTTTCTGTGCTTGCTGTGTACAAGATTAAGTAACGCAATCAACTTAAACATATTTGTCACGCAATTTTTTTATTTCATGAGACGGAAGACTGCGTGACAAGTAAAAGAAATACATTACTTGCAAAAAGTAAAATTTCAGACGTTTTATTTCGGGCGTTTAATTTTCAGTCACTTATTGCATTTCGGACAAATTTCGAGCAAAAATTTACTGAACCATCAAGGTTTTGCAGACACACCGACGAGAAAATATCACAAATTCTTACGTGGAAACTAAGAGCTTTGGAGCTACTTTAAAGTCTTAGACTGTACTGTAAATATTTCGGACGCTTAAAATTTCGAACGCTTAAAAATTTCGGATGGTTGTATTTTCGGACACTTTTCTCGTCCGAAATTATTTGCAAGTAATATAAATGCACGTTAGTGCCGCAAACACTCTTTCAGTGTATATTCCTAGAATAAATTTTTTATTAACCAGGAGGACAGTGTTACAATACTGCGTTAAAGGAGTTATGCCACGGTTTGTGCAGCTTGAAAAGTTTAGCCTAAATTTTTCAAATTCGTCGTTTGTAATCCGCGAATGGTCTTTCACAAAGCAAACAATTCGTTTTACAATTCAACAGCACATATATAAGCAACATCAGCGCAGAGTTTCTACAGTTTGGTGACCAAAGCGCCCTAATCAAATGCCAGCTGTAGGTTAGTTCACAGCCCTGTCGCCGGCGTCAAAGTGGGAAGCTTTTTGTTTCCTTCTTTTAATATCTACGATGTTTTGCGCCGCTGGCGTTCCTAAACAGCACAAAAACAAAAGAATATCTAGACATAAGTATTGTTAATGCGTATAAATCTATACATAAATCAGATAGTTTGTACCGTGAGAAAGATTCAACAGTTCAGTGTAATTAAATTGAGCCATGACAGTCAAAATAAAGAAATTAAATCTGAAATTTCACCTCCTTAGCAACGCGCGC